TATGGATTATTAGCTAAAATTTTATGCTATTCTAATTGACATAAAATAAACAAAAAGTAGTTTAATAACATTTTGAATGTAAAACACTAAAACTTTGTGTCATGCAAAGTAAAGGGTACCCGGGTCGATAAGGTTAACAATTTTCTGCTTTCTCTCATCTAACCCTCCTATAATCAAATTAACTAGTCTTTCCCAAAACACTACAGATATGAATTTCTTAAAGTGTGGCACCTTATCAAAAGATTTTTAAAAATCTACACAAGTACACAACAAAAAAAATTTTTTTTTCTGAATAATATATTTAAACCTATGCTTCAAAAGCAAATATTACCCCAAATATTGATGTTCTATAATTTATATTTTAAGTTCTGTGTACATAGTCACTTTTGCTAAGGATAGTTTCTCATCAAAGGCTAACCCATATATTTGATTCTGGATGTTTTGTTAATGTTAGTGTTCATTTGATTCTGGTTATTTGTTTCATGTGGTATTTACTTGATTCTGGTTGTTCTTTTAATGTTAGTGTTCATTTGATTCTGGTTATTTGTTTCATGTGGTATTTACTTGATTCTGGTTGTTCTTTTAATGTTAGTGTTCATTTGATTCTGGTTATTTGTTTCATGTGGTATTTACTTGATTCTGGTTGTTCTTTTAATGTTAGTGTTCATTTGATTCTGGTTATTTGTTTCATGTGGTATTTACTTGATTCTGGTTGTTCTTTAAATGTTAGTGTTCATTTGATTCTGGTTATTTGTTTCATGTGGTATTTACTTGATTCTGGTTGTTCTTTAAATGTTAGTGTTCATTTGATTCTGGTTATTTATTTCATTTAGTATTTATTTGATTCTGGTTGTTCTTTAAATGTTAGTGTTCCTTTGATTCTGGTTATTTATTTCATTTAGTATTTATTTGATTCTGGTTGTTCTTTAAATGTTAGTGTTCCTTTGATTCTGGTTGTTCTTTTGAAGTATCTTGAATTTTAGAGGAAAGTTTTACATCACAGGAAGCTTAATTGGTTTCAATCATTTTATTATTGAACTTTTCTAATTGAAAATAATAGTTTTTGTTTTTAAAATTAATTTTCATATAAGGTACACCATTTTAAAACTTCAATAGGAGCTGTTTCAATATATCTGAGAATTATATGCAATATCAGTGGTAATGGATCAGTACTTTATGTCTTTTATTTAGAGAAAAAAGCCTGAGCTTACCATTATAATCAAAAATGTAATAATCAGAATCATTAATTTCAATTAGTTGATAAATTTTACACCAATTGTTTAATTGTAATTTCAATTACTTAACATTAAACAATGTAATCATTGCTTATGGGTAACAAATTATATCAATTAACTGAGTTAATCTACCACCTCTAATATAAAGTGTGTAGTGTGGTGGTAGTAGTATAAAATCAGATGGGCCAAATGGCTCCTTTTTATCCCTTGAAAATAAAATGCAAGTCATTACAATTTACAGGCAAGCCTAAACAAAGAGCTGCAGAGGCATCATAAATGTATCTTACTAAAAGTTAGGCTTTACACACAGTGTTGCAAGTTTCACTATTCCAATGTATATTATTATTAACTAATTCCTAGTATCTCTGCTAAGTTTAGTATCTTCAAGATTTTTTTAGCTCACCTCTAGAGTGTGTGTTTTGTACAGAGAGGGGTTCCACTCCTCCTTCTCCTTAGAGAGAGCCTGCTGTAGCATGAATATCACTCTCTCAGGAGTCAAATCCAATTTTACTTGCATTCTGACACACCCTTTCTACCAAAAGTGGAGTCACCCACTTGTCAGCACACCCTCCTTCCCTGACCTAGTGATATAAAAACACAATAAGATTAGATTACCTGAACATACTTGTAGCATAAAACCTGACTGTAAAAGTATTCCATGTTCTGGCTTATGAAAAATTATATAGATCATAGATTCAACAAAATTGCCTTTATACAATTATAAACTAAATAGTCAATAAGTGACAGGTTCTTGAAAAGTGTATTTGAATGGACACAATGAGAGAGAACAAGATTTCAGAAGACATGTAATTTAATGTCTGTAAATGGACAGTAAAGATGAGTTTATGTGAACCTGTTTTTAAAATACTTGTAGATTATTTCTCAGCATAAAATAAGAAGCCATTCTTTATAAGGCAAATATTAAGCTCTTCCAACATGTACCTTTAATAAACCCATCTGTTTTCACCTTTTTTTTTTGTAAGGAAATATTTTCCCAATAAATAATTTTAAAAAAACCTTGTAATTTCAGTGATTAAAAAACAAAGTTCCAATAAGGACTCTTAACATGTATAATGGATATATAACTTAGATATTTTAAACAAATAGTCTTTAATCTTTTCAAGTACAATAAATAAAATGTTTAATAACATTTTAACTTAAAACTTATAGAAAAATTTTATCATAACTTACAAGAATTATTGCTAAAAATAAAGCAGCAGCACAATTATAATGCAGTATTTCACATAAGTAACACAGAGAGAAATTGAAATGTAATTTTGCCATAAAGTAAAATAATTTTACTTCAAATCAGAAGTGAAAGCCCTGAATATACTAGTAGTAAAAAGTTTGCATATATAAGCAGATAAATTATATTGTATTTGCTGCTGGTCTTCTATAAAACAGTAACAGTTAGATTAAATACAGACATAACACTGCAGGAATTAATTTTGTAAAACATTAAAGAACCATTGAAAATAGAAATCATTCATATTCACTGCCAATTTTAGATTTAGCACCCAATTCTGGACCAAAAACATTAAACAAGCACAACTTTGTTAATTTTTTGCAATATAATGTTTTATGTATTATTTATATGGGTCTAATTAAAACATTTTTATTAAAATATTTGGAATATTTTTTCATGCAATTCTTCAGGTAGTTGTTAATTGATTCTAAGTACTGCTACATTTGTGTTTTTGTTGGAGAAATGTGTTTCATCATCCTCACAAGGCTTCCAATGCAAAAGTTAACATATAATGACATAAGACTAGAAGCAATATTTTGTAGATTGCATGAAATTCGTGCAATTGTGTAGTTCTCAATCTCGGTAACATATTCTTGTTAGCAGTATGCAAAAATGCAGATTCTAATGATTTTACTTTTATAATTGTTAAATATTGCTGTTATGTTTCATCATACTTCACTTTTATTTTTAATTTAAATACTAGTGTTAACTAATATTTTTGTTACGAAGTTCAAAGCACTGTATTATATACAACATTATAAAATACAAGTATATTACACCAAATCTGTGTTTTGAAAAAGCGATAAAAATTGATGATATTCTATCTGTACAAGCTTGTAACTGCAAATCAATAAAACTTCTATACAGCGCTTTAAACTTCGTTGCAAAAGTATCAATTAACACTAGTCTTTAGTTTACGTTTAACTTAAAAGTTAAAACTTAAACTTAAAGTGATGAAATGTATGGTTTTAAAAATTAATAAAATTGAAAGTTTTGAAGGCCTTGGCACTTATATTATAATAAGGGCCAAAGTCTTCAAAAACGTACATTTATGTCCTTTAAACCCTGACAAAGAATACAAGATTTAAAACAAAATCTGTTAATATAAATATTATAAGAATATAATCTACTTCTATCAATACTTCAGCCTGTGTTGGTTACTCAACTTACTGACAGTAGTACTCGTAATAATAACGTTAGTTAACTTACATTCAACTTACAACTAAGTGCATTACAATTTACAGCGGAGTAATAAACTAGTAACAATTACAATAAATAAGACACTAACCTCAGTTCTCTTCCGTAAAGGAATTTCGTAAAACGTGATCATGCGTATTTTAAGCAAAAAATAATGTATAACCTCTAATAAAATTTAAAAGAATGTGACAAAATGTCTAACAAAGCTTTCATTGTTATAATACTCGTTCGACTCTTCTGTTTTCCAAATGTCATTCAGGACGTCTTCCTCTGATCATAGACAGCTGACAGAAATATTCAAACTCTATTGGTCTATGCATTTACGTCATTCAAGAATCCTGTCTATAACCGCAGGTTTATTCGTCTACATAGATATAATGCGTAGTAATTGTTTACTGTTTTGAAAAAAAATGTATATTTTCACATATTCTGTAATTATATTCCAAAAACTTAACATATAAGTTATCTTTACAGTAAAACTATATAAATTTACGTTATAACTCTTTTATGTAGCGTTCTACACCAATGACTCACTTCTGTCTGTGACGTAACAAAGAAAAATTGGAAATAAAGTTTTCGACTTTTCAAATCAATTATTATATTTTAACAGTTTTATACTTTATGTGAGTTTTATTACACAAATGTCATTATTTAACTTATGAATATATATTATCTTCTCCAGCTCACGACAATTTATACACTGAAAGAAAACCAGATTTAAACCAAGCTCTGGTGATTTTTAAAACGACGGTTGTGACCACACCCACTTTTCTATATTGACAAATATAATCTTTTTATTTTGGCCTGATAAAATGTTTACACAATTTCAAATGAAATGAAACGCATCTGATAAAAATATTTTTAATTATTATTTAAAAAAAAACTGATTTAATTTTTTTTTTTGAAAAGAACATTATTTGATAAAAAATATAGTGATTAAAACAATTCAAATATGTGTTATGCAGATCGTGACAAAAAGTACAAAGTTCTGTCTAATGTGCCTATTGTAGATCATAGCATAGCAAAAATATTACTTCGAACTAAAGATAGCCAGGTGGTTAGGGCGCTCGACTCGCAATCTGCGGGTCGCGGGTTCGAATCCCCGTCACACCAAACATGCTCGCCATTTTAGCCGTGGGGCGTTATAATGTGACGGTCAATCTACTATTCGTTGGTAAAAGAGTAGCCCAAGAGTTGGCGGTGGGTGGTGATGACTAGCTGCCTTCCCTCTAGTCTTACACTGCTAAATTAGGGACGGCTAGCGCAGATAGCCCTCTTGTAGCTTTGCGCGAAATTCAAACGAACAAACAAATCAAACTAAAGAATACCTCACTATAAAGGTGTAGTACCGAACTTTACTATGCACTATGCGTTAGCTCTCCCTTTAAATAAGTTATTTTTAAATTATTATATTGTTGCGTCAGCGAGTCACATGACCACTGTGGCGCCCTCTAGTTTCTAGAACTATCTTGTTCTTTCAGGAATGCTCTAGTATTTACTAGTAGGGTAGGCTGGTATATATATAAGAGGAGATAGATAGTGAGTAATTGATCTGCGGTCGGAGTATTATTGACGTTCGTTGCTATAGCGTTTGTTTAGCGCGATTGTTGATGTTGAGTGTATCGGTTAAGTTATATTCGGAAAGAATAAACTAGTTTTATTAAGTAAAGACTTGTGTCGTTAAAGTTTCGTTGGAACGAAGTTACGAAAAAATCAATTAACAAACGGAGACGTAACAATATTTTTCATCGTTCTCTTTTGACGGCAATGAATTGTTTCAGTAAATTATTCAACTATCCATAATGTTTGGAGACGGCTTGAATGGGTAATGAAGAAAAAACTTTAATATAAGTTTAACATAACAGCAAATGTACAACATTTCGACAAGGTTTTGATGATGACGTACAACCTATGCTTTTAACCAAATATTTCAAACTTGGACTCATCTGTCCATATCACCCTTTTCTAATCATCAACAGTCGAGTTTTTGTACATTTTAGCAAATTTCAGTCTCTTGACAATACTTCGGGATTGAAGTAATGGTTTTTAAACTGCTACATGACCAAATATTCTATTCTCGTTGAGTCTTCATGATACTGTAGACACTTTTCTGTCATTTGGTACACGGTCGTTTATCTCAAGCTTGAGATCAGTGGCAGTCTTTCTTTTATCCAGAAGGCTGCATAAATGAAGATACTTAACATCAGTATTGTTACGTCTCTGTGTTCGGTTGTTAATTTTCCGTATAAATTGCCGATGAAACTTCAGCGATACAAGTATTTTCTTAAATAAAACTAGTTTATTATTTCTTAATTCAACTTTGCAATACACTTAATTTCCACAGCCACTTTAAATTAAACACACGCTATAATTCACAACGAACGATTCACGCGCTTTGCTTACGTCACTACCGCGCTTGACTTAATTGTCCGTCTCTATATCTGCCTTTCTGCAATTTAATTTCGATTAATTGTCTGGCGCACTTATATACAAGAAAAGAGGGCGCCTAGCAAGTACTGGATTATTCGTGTGGTTCTCCGATCTTTCTAGAACTCATTACGTGTTACCAGTATCACGTGACTTCCGCTGTCGTAACAGTATCATTGAGTTTAGGAATTCTGGCTCTTCCTTTCCTGTTTTCAAATTAACCTGTCTCGGTCTCACGATCTAGGGTGTACTTGACAGTGTTTGTGGAGCATTTCAAGTCTGCAGCAATTTGTGAAGAGCCTAACCAGCATCACGTAAAGATTTAAATGTGAACTCTCTGCTCTACTGACAATTCTCTACACTTTTTGGGCCGTAGCATGACAACAAAAGTTAATATATAGTGTTAAACACTGTTTTTGTCAAGATTTGTTTCTGGGGTGCTATTAAATTGATTTATTTTAGCATGTACAGATACCATATGCTAGCTTCTTTCTATGTAGTTAAGACACTGCATTAGGTACCATGACAGTTAGTTCAGACCCTACATTTGATCCACATGTTCCACTTGTAGTCGAGAATATGGTCAGGTTAAGTATGATGGCAAGACTTGTTATTTGACACTGGTTGTGGTGTAAGGAAAAAAAGTGAAACTTTTAGGCCGAATTTGGGTGAAAAAGGTATAACTAAACTAGTGCCAAATCTTAAATGTTAATAGTGAAGAATCAAGAGAGAACCTTAAAGATTTTCTCAACAAATTCCAGCCAGTTTTTAAACCTGCTGGTCCTGCTTAAAAAATTACACAGCCGATGGCAGAAGTGGAAATTGAAAGGAGAAGTGTGCCAACATTCTATTAAGCTAGGCCAATTTCCTATGCCCTAATGGAGTCTGTGAGTAAATAAATGGACAGATTAGAGTCCTATGGTAAAACAAAAACTAAAAGGTCAAACACTCAAAATAAGCTGCAACTATTGTGACCTTCCCAAAAGCCGATGGCAGCACTAGAATTTGTGGGCATTATAGGATAACTGTGAATAAAACTGTGGAAGGGAATGCCTACCCTTTATCCACTGCTGAAGATTTTTTTGCTACCTTATTAGTTAGTTTTTTGTCTGTTTGTTTTTGAACTTCGCGCAAAGCTACATGAGGGCTATCTGCGCTCGCCGTCCCTAATTTAGCAGTGTAAGACTAGAGGGAGGCAGCTAGTCATCACCACCCACCGCTAACTCTTGGGCTACTCTTTTACCAACGAATAGTGGGATTGACCATCATATTATAAATGTCCCACGGCTGAAAGGGCGGGAATGTTTGGTGTGCCGGGGATTCGAACCCGCGACCCGCAGATTGTGAGTCGAACACCCTAACCACCTGGCCAGGCCGGGCATACCTCATTAGAGGGAACAATATTTAGTAAAATCGACTTCACAAATCCCTATCAGCAGTTACAACTGATTGAGAGGAGTAAGGAATTGCTTATTGTCAACATGAGGTATAAAAAAAGGTTATATCAATTCCAAAGATTTCCATTTGGTGTGTCAACAGCACCAGCAATATTTCAAAGAGTTATGGAGCAGATTCTAGGTGGAATCGATGGTATTGTGTGTTTCCTATATGACATACTAAGGTGCTGGGTGAAGTGTTGTCAAGACTGCAAGAATATGGTGCAAAGCAAATGCTGTTTCATGTAGTCTAGTGTGTCCTATTTAGAACACAAAATTGATGGGGATGGAATTCATTCAACAAAAGACAAAGTTGAAGCTAACTGTCAGGCAAAAGTCCAACAAAATGTGCATGAATGAGCTGAGAACCTTTATTGGAATAGAGGTGTACAATGTAAATTCATCCCAGATTTAGCTACCAGGTTTGCACCCCTTTAATATATGTTGTGGAAAAGGGTGGAATGGAATTGGTCGGTGTAATGGTAAGGAGCATTTGATGAAGCAAAAACTGGCTTGTGAGTAATCAAATGCTAGTACACTATGATCTAAAGAAACCTTTAGTTTTAGCCTGTGATGCATCACCAATAGGCCTAGGAGTGGTTTCGTCACAACTTATGGAAAATGAAGAGAAGAGACCCATAGGCTGTGCTTCGTGCACTTTAACTGACTTTGAAAAAAATTATGCACAAGTGAAAAAAGAGTATTAACAATTATCTATGGGGTAAACAAATTCCATAAGTAATTGTATGGCAGGCGATTTACTCTCAAAACAGACCATGAGACACTCATAATGATATTTGGGTCCAAGAAGGGAGTACCATCCATAGCAGCAGCAAAACAATAGAGATGGGCATTAACTTTAATGGCTCATACATATGATATTAGGTAAGAGATAAGCAGACCATGCAGATGCTGATGCTCTCTCAAGATTCCCAGTAAGTAGTTGAAACTTTTAACCTGTGAGCACAAAATCAACCACTTTACCTATACTGAGGACCTTCCTGTCGCAGCTAGTGTCATTAAGGAAGAAATCAGGAAAGACCCAATCCTAAGCAAAATTCTACATTATGTCTTGAATGGTTGGCCTAAATATAATGATGGCGAAAGCATGAAAGACTACTTTATAAGGACAATGAGTTGACTGTAGATAAAGGTTGTGTTCAATGGGGGTTAAGAGTCATTTTTCCTCCAACATTTAGAGAGCAACTTATTCAAGAGTTGTACCAAGACCATACTGGGAATGTACACATTAAAGCTGTAGCTAGAAGCTATTTTTGGTATCCCAGGCTTGACCAAGAGATTGCAAGATTGTGAAGTTTGTGCATCAATGAGAAACAACCTCTCAAAAGCACCATTTGTACCATGGTTACAAGTGACAAAACCATGGGAGAGGATACATATTGACTTTTGTGAATTGGAAGGGAAAGATA